CAACATTTACAAAACCAAACATTCACGGTAAACGCACTTATATCTTAAGTGTCTTAAAGAGGCAGCGATTGTGAAGCAAAAGATACACCAGGTTAATGCTGGAGAAAATGAGCAGAGGATCGAGATATACAAATGTATACAAAATCAAAGGCTTACTGAAATAAGGAGCTCACATTTTCCCATTTTTTTGGTAAAATGGGACCTGCAGTGGTCTCTATGTGGTAGAATGATTTGAGGTATTGCAGGAAGCCTGCTATCTTTGGCGAGGTTTCCCTTCTTTTGCTAATCCAGATGTAATTTCTGGCTAGAAGGAAAAGGAAATTAATTTGCTGGCAGTTTTTTGAAGAATCCGGCTTTAGACCAAGTGCAACAAATATATCTAATGTGTAATGTTCCGGTGTAATGTGGAGCAAAGTCAGCTTAAGAGATAAACTATGCCAGAAAAAGGCCACTTTAGGACAAGACCAAAAAAGATGAAGAAGTTTCTCCGGTTCATTATTACAAAAAGAACAATTTGGGTTGTCTTTTACGCCAATTTTTGTTAAGAAGTCGTTCGTTGATATTCGTCTGTGTAAAAATTTATATTGGAATTCAATAATTCTTGTACTTTTAGTATAGTTTGCCTGTATGTTGGAAATTCGGGAAATCATACGTTTGTGTAACGGAACTGATGTGAATCAAACAGATGTGCGTTTTTTTTTTTTCGCTGATGGTTGTTTTTTTTTTGGAAAGAAAAGAGGAATTCGAGAAAGCGATGAAAAAAATAGCGCGATGCATGCGGGATCTTTTAAGAGAGGACAAAGCTAAACAAACGCGATTCGCGTTTTCCGGCGAGCAAAGACAAGCACGAAGCGAGCGCTCGACAGGAGTAGGCGCCTCCCACGTTGGGCGTGTCTCGTGTCTGGCGCTCCTCGCTTGCTTTGCGCTTGCCGTCGCTCGCCTAAAGAATGCGAACAAGTAAAGCCTGTTCTGCAGCAAATAAAAGAGAGGCCTCGGGAAAGTGAATAACCCTTTTATCGGGCTGCCTGTGAAAAAGCCAAACTGAAGTTCTGAGTGGCGTGTACGTCGAAAACACACGCCCAATATGGGGGGTCTTGTCCTTTAGGGTGGATTTCCACTGTCGCGTAATTTTCACGTGCGTGAACATGGACGTAAGTTTTACTCGAGTAAATAAAATAAAGACAAGGTATGAAGTATTGCGCTTAATGGTGAAGTTGAGCGAGGTTCGACTTTTGCTTTTACGCGCTATCTTTCATACATTCACTCTCTTTTATTTGAGAACGTAAATTTTACGCACGTACGCACGTGACGAGAGTTTGTTGGAAGTTTGATAGAGGCCAGAAACCGCGAGGATTAACCATATTCAGAATATTCAAGAGATAGTTTAGGGTAATGGAATATTCTTTGGCCAGAACAAAAGCTAAGCATTTTTAGTCAGCCAGGAACAATGATTTCGATCAAGCTTAGCCACTGGTTCACCGGAGCCACACGCTGGTTATAGTTAAATCCGAGCCCTTATTTACCAGCCAGCTCGAAAACAGCCTACAGCCTGTAGAGCCTTTTTTAGCAGAGCGGGTTCGTTAGGAAGTTTAGCCTGCGTCCGGATAGCTTCCCACGCAAACGTTCTTAGGGGGTTCTCACGCGTTCCTTCCCCGAACACGTGACGAACCTCTAAAAATGTCTGCGTGGGAGGCTAGCGTCCAGACGTCTCTTAGTTCCTTTGTCGCCCAAAGAAAAGTGAAAAGGTCATCACACCGTAATTTTTAGGGAGTTATTATAACTCCAAAAATGGAGTAAAAATTTTAGGTACAGGATAACCCCATTTTTGGGGTTATTTTAACTCCTAATTTAACTCCGAATTTGGGGTCATTTTTACTCCTGAAAAAGAGTTCTTTTTACTCCCAGTCTGGAGTTAAAATTACTCCGAAATGGGGTTACTTGTACTCCTTACATGGGTTGTTTTTACTCTTTTTGGAGTTAATTTAACTCTGAAAGTGGAGTAAAAATTTTAGGTACAGGATAACTCCTTTTT